AGCAGCGGCAGCAATAGCAATAGCAATAGCATGCAATAGCAGTAGAAGCAGCAGTAGTACGATTACTAGCAATAGCAGCAGTAGTAGTAGTAGTAGTAGTAGTAGTAGTAGCAGCAATAGTAGTAGTAGCGGTAGTGGTAAGTAGTATTAAACAGTCGTAAGTACTTGTAAGTGGCAGCAAGTAACTAGTAGTAAGTAGAAGTAAGTAGTATGGTAAGTCGTAGTAAGCACAAGAAAAAGCAGTAGTCGTCGTCGTCGTAGCAGTACTTGTTGTTGTTGCTGGTGGTGGTGGTGGTGGTGGTGGTGGTGGTTGGTGGCGCTGGTGGTGATGATGATGGTGGTTGCGGTTGTTGCTGTTGCTGCTGACGATGATGATGATGATGACGATGATGATGTTGTTGTTGTTGTCGTCGTCGTGGTGGTGGTTGTGACGCCGGCAGCAGCGTTGTGGCTGATATTCTATTTGTCTACTGCACTAGTCACTAGTTAAGATAAGAATGACTCGGTAATGTCGTAGAAGCAGTACACAGGTTGTACTTACTCGCCCGGAGCTGAAAAAAGGCAGCCCAAAACGTCTGAACGCATCTCAGGAGCATGTGCACCATGCTGTCCTGGCCTATCAGAGTGATGCAGGCCTTCTGAGCTGCTTTCTCAGCATTGGAGTTTCGGTTCAAGGGTTTGCTGCGAAGCTTTGAATTGCGGTAAGCACGTCGAACACCTGTTGGACATGTCAGTCTTGTGGCTGGCGCCAGCACCCTAATGAGGCACAGCAAGGGTGGAGATGTCCTGGAAATCATTCTGGGAAGCTCGACCTATGATGGCTTCGTTGGATCACGCGACTCGCCTGAACTGAACCTGACCACGACACTTATAAGCCAGGTATTGACAAACGGAAGAGGCAGCCGACAGCTGTTTGCCGCCAGCTGTCTAAGTCGAACTCTTGCTGTAATCAGTTTATTGCAACGGCGAGTGGAAAAAATCATCACAAAGAGACGACACTGGCAGCAATCACGCGTGGCCCCAGGGTTCCAGGTCCTCGTAATGGCCAAGGCTATGTGGTTCCACCACGCCTTCCCCAGATGGCGCGCCGACGAGTGGCTTCTTTATGCGCCTGCCTTATGTCAGGAGTGTCAATATCTAATAAGGCAGATGCAGCTAACACGGAGCTACAGATCGACTTAATCGGACAGGCCATGTATTCGCCTCGCTTGACTGGTGCTCGTGGGCTTTCCCATGGGCACATCTTCACGCGTGATGGCTGGTTGGCCACATGGCGACATGAAATAAGGCACAGACCAGTGCTGAAGGGCCGCATTCACGCTCCATGCCGCGAAGCTTCGCCTGTTTCCAAGACGCCCGGAGAGCCCAGGTTGTGAGCTGCACACAGGAAGGTTTGATCCGCCGCCAGCTTACGAAGCATATCAAAGCACGCGCCCGTGACGGCCCTGTGTACTTCAGTTCTGTTATGTCAGGCTTCGGCAAGGACCGTGGTTTGCCAGCGTCTATGCGACCTGAGACGAAAGTGAGCAGGCTTTAGCAGGACGAGAGTGAGTGCGGCCTTCAGTGGGCAGCTCTGAGCAAACCGCGCTGCAAAGCATGGCCCGTGTTTGTGCCCGAACCGCCTCAACAGCAGCAGCGGTTTGGTGCTGCTGAACTTACATGATTCACTCGACTCACCCTTGTGTGAGACCTGGGCTGCTTGGAGGAAGTGCTCCATCAAGCCTATGCAAAGGAAACAAGCAGAACATCCGGAGTATCCAAATCGCGGCTCTCTTCGGCCCCGTGGACCTGGAACGTTTCCATTGAGACTTGGTTGCCGAGGTTGGGAACTGGACCGCTCGACAAAGTCTTGGGCGGGAACCTGGAGCCGAAGGGCAGGCCCATTTTGCACCGATGGAGCGAACGCCCACTGCCCTGCATTGGTGCGATCAGGAAGCTTACCAGCTTACAGGCGAGGACTGTGGGGATGACGGCGAGTGGAGTGCATTACTCAGTCAGGGATGAGTCAGCGCTGACAGTCAGCACGAAACACGGAGAAGTGCTGTCACATCAGGGAAGTTTCCGGGTATGGCCCATTCCTAGGTGATGGCGAGGATGCTTTGACCGTGGTCGATGTGGTTCGAAGCCTTTGCAAGCAGGAGAGGTGCTGGACCTTCCAAAACCCGACAAATGTTTCATAGCAGGCTCAGCTTGAGTTGCGCGTAGAGTTCTGACTCAATTCTGAGTATCGGCAGGAAGCTAGCAGCTAGTTAACATCGGAGAAGACGTATACTGGTGCAGTTACATGTCTCCAGACTACATCCACAGCGCAGCTCAGCTCAGCATGGCTTACGCACCCGGCAAGCCACATTACACGACAGCCAGAAATATTGAAGCCAAGGCCATCGTATTCATTAGTAACCCACCCCAAAGCATAGATCCTACCCAGTGTTCTACTCAACATCCGGAGCCTTGCTTCCCTTCTTAGCTCGAAGAGTCCACACAGCCACTGGAACAGGACGAAGAGGAATGGAGAGCCTTGGTTTCGAGCAGATGCACTAAATCCTGGGGCTCCAATGAACCATGAGAGTTTTACAGCTATAGGCCTGAAGCATTTGCCCATATCTTGCCCCACATCGCTGGGTTTGGTCTATGCCTATGCAAAATTACTGTGTCGGCATTCCTTCGTTCAGCTTGGGCTGTCCCTGAGCCCTAAACTTGCCCCAAACCCTAAACCGTGACGAGACGGCCTAGGCCAGGAGGAGCGAACCCTGCACGAGCTCTTCGCGGAGACCCCCATCGAAGAGGAAGGCCAGGTTGGGTGTTTAGAGCAAGAGGCCCTCACTGGCACACCAGAGGTAAAAGCAAAGCGACGGTGACAGGTAGCAGTATTGGTACATTATGTACCTAAACCACAACGCAGAGTACAGAGCAGCACAAGCCTAGCAGACTGCATTCTATCGCGATGTTGTCCGCCATAGCCTTCCAGACTTTGGCCGACGTGCTGTCAGGAGGTCAATGTGGGCAGACCGATCCTCTTTCCGCATGGGATGCCTTTGCCCAGGAGCAACGAAGTGTTTGATGTCCCCTCGCTTATTCCCTCCTCTCTCTCTCTCTCTCTCTCTTCTCTTTCTTTTTCTCTGTCTCTCTCTCTCTCGCTCATTCTCGCTCTGTCTCTCTCGCTCTCTCTCTCTCTCTCTCTCTCGGCCCGCAGCTGGATCTAAGTTAAAGTGCTGAGTCCTTGCGACTTGGTCAGCTAGGCGGGTGTCCAAAAATGGTCTCACGCGAGGAGCAGTCGACGATCAGCTTTGTCAGCCGAGTCTCGGACTAGAACCCGTGGGCTCGCGTGAGACAATTGGGATGAAACAGCGGCACATCGCACCCTGATGGCTTCTGGAATGCACTTCTGCATGCCCTGAGCCGAGGATCCGCAGACAGCGAGTCGGGGCCTTAGGAACAGGAACAGAGACAGGTTTCCTGAGCCGAAGACAAGGTCCGAGTCCGAGGATGAAGAAGAGCCCTGTCTGATTAGTCGCAGAGCTCCCAATACATGGACTACAAGTAAACTGTCAATGCCGCACAGGGTTGGCACTCAGCTGGGTTGAAGGGCGCGCAGCTTATGCACGCCACGCACGATCGCATCGTCGTATATCACGCATTGTGGCGGTGATGCGTTTCGCACGAATCATTGTCTAAGCGTGTTGATCTGCGGTGAATCGGCTGAGGGTATCAGCTGCAGTTCCAACGCCTGGCCGTGATTCTAGCGAACTCCTGACTCTGTCGGTTTGTTGGTTTGGTGGTCATGCATGTATGCATATGTATGCGGGAGCGCAAGAATGTAACTGTATTATATGTACATCCGCACAGGGAGAGAGAGCCAGAGAGAGACAGGGGGACTACCCCTACACCCGAACCCTGACGAAGGAAAGAAAGAGAGACAGGAGGGAGAGCGCAGCGTTGTCTGTGTGTGTGTGTATACATGCATGCATGCATGCATCATGCATACAGACGCACATGCATACCCATAGCTACCTACCTACGTACGTATGCACACAGACAGACAGACAGACAGACAGACAGACAGACAGACAGACAGACAGACAGACAGACAGACAGACAGACAGACAGAAAACAGATAGACAGACAGACAGACAGACAGACAGACAGACAGACAGACAGACAGACAGAGACCGATTTGCATGCCCGGGGGAAGAAGACCGATTTGCATATATATATATATATACTATCAAGTTATATTATATTATATTACATCTATACACACACACACACACATATATATATATATATGTTTGCATATATATATATATATGTAGATATTATCCACGGCCTGAGCCCCCACTCACCCGGAAGTAGTCCCTGCTACAACCGGAACCCCTGTAAGACACTACTACACTTGACCAACTATTTGCCCCAAAAAAGTTCCCGACTATAACTGGAAAGTTTTTTTTGTTCAGTTTCCGGTTCTTACAGTGTTATTCTATATTTGTAAGGACTTTACACGGCGTGGCTTTAATAGACATTCCTTCACAGCCAATCATTCCTTTTGGAGCGTTTGGGCTACACGATGGCACAACACACACGCACGGAGATTCAGAGTATCCGGACGGAGAACGGTCCCGGTCCCTCCTACAACTGGTTTTTTTCAAAAACGAATGGTTTCCTTCAAGGTTCAGGTTCAGGATTGGAGACTGTGCAAATTGTGAGCGTGTTAGCTGTATAGGGCGTCCGGTTGTGGTAGGGACTAGCCCCCCCCATTGCGGCCCACTTCTGGTATCCCCACCCGTGGCCTGCGGTCGTGTCTGGGTTCTTTGTCTCCCACCTTCTTTGTCGTCCATTTTGGGTGTGTGGTGTTGTGGCGTTGTCTGGGGTTTGTTCTCTGGTGTTTGAATCATCTCCAACAGAGATATGAGCTTGAGAGGTGCGGCTTCACTGAGGTTTCTGCGGTCGCTCTGAACCCTTCCGTGTCTAAAGAGTCTAATTGATTTCGCAGGGCAGCGCCTGCAGATGCCAGTCGGTCGCCGCCATTCGGATCATAGACAAACCTGTGTTTCGGAATATCGGAAACGAACGATTTGTTCATATCTGACTAGTGGTGCTTGAAACAGATGCATCGCGTTGCGCACATTTTGATTCACAAACATCAAGCCGAGGAGTTCCTTCGCCATCTTCTGCAAGGCAGTCGCTTGTGTTGCTGGCTTCACCCGCTCTGCAGGGGCCAACACCGTGACGCGGCTTCGGGAATGTTGTGCTGCAGCGTTACATTACAAAACAAACGAACCCTGCAAAAAAGTGTACTGCAAGAATCGAGGTGACGCCCCGCGAGTGTCCACAGCAGGAGCTCTTGAGTAGACTTAAAGTCACGATTAGGGATTTTTGGTGTCAGGTTTTCGGATTTGGACGGTCAAGATCAACACAGCACGCGTCCCGCTTGATGTGTTCTGCTCTCGAAACCAGCTGCGCTATTTGCAGAGGACTTCCGCAGATATGGAGTGCAACAACTGCTCCCTCTCCCAGAGATCTTGCGAGACCTCACGGGCATGTGCCATGGCTTGAAGCTTCATGTCGAATGTCGAGTTCGCGCAAGAACAGATGTTGCAAGATCAGGTCTCAATTGAGGCTGTGCTCACGTATCGCTTTCACCGCGGTTTGCGCGACAACCTAGTATCGGATGGATTGGAGGAGCCTTGGGTCATCAGTGGTTACAGGGTCATTTGCTCGTTGTCTTCGGTGCTGCTCGCGTGATCATTCCTCCGGCGGCTTTGTAGAACGATACAAGTAATTACGGCAACAGTACTGCACGACAAACTGGCAGCAAGCAATCAAACAGGCCACCTCTCTGCCCTCGTTTGTTGCATGTCAAACGCTCCCGAGCCTCGCACGCCTTGTGAACATCCCGATTTGCTTTCTCAACACATGACATTCCTGCACGGTCACCAGCAGCAGAGATCAACACCCAGACAAAGACGTCTTACAGATAGCACCGGAGCCACAGGGGATGTCAAACTGGAGGGTGAGAAAGTAGAACCACGGACTTGCCACTGCTGTTGCACGAGCCTCACCGTGGCTGTCCATACTGTTAACTCGTGTCGCATGTTGGCTAAATCGATTATAACTCACCCTCCAGTCCCTGAGCCTCTCCGAAACCCTCCTGCAGATGAAGACAAGAAGGAGAAGCGGGATGCAACTTCAGGTCAGAACAGCGAGCGAAAACCCCTCCAGACACCAGTCTCCGCAAGGCGAGGTAGCATGACAAGTGAGAGAGAACGGCAAGAGCCGCAGCACAAGATTACCTGTCCAGTCCTGCGCAGGAGAAGTACAGATCGGAGATGCGTGTCCTGCCTGGAGCAAGCATAGCCGTAGCACATGTGGCGGAGTGTGAAACATATTCAAGATTGTGCAAGCATACTTCATCATGCCTGTCCAAGCGTGTTTGCGCGTGGAGTGTCTGCTGATGGACACGATGCATCGGCAGCCTATCCCTGCAGGCAAAGATCCGCATATCCCGTGCTTCTGCCGGCGCTGCGTGTGGGAGAATCACCCAGTGCTCAAGCTAGTGTGATCAGAACAAGCAACCCAATTCTGCTTCAAATTTTAAAGCTCATGTGCATGGGGCCGAGCTTGGATCTGCGGCTTCCGGTTTACAGATCTGATGTGCCGCAGCTTGAAGACCTCGAGCGCTCCCTGCACGGAGGAGCATCCTCACACCTTGTACAGTGCACGAGGGGTTAGCTTTTCGGAACCGGCGCCTGTTCAATATGAACGAGTAAACGCAGAAAGCTGCGCGCTGCCATTCCGGCAAAACAGCTTTGACTGTTTGACCGTCTTTCGCTTTTCAACAAATCTGTGGCCAGGCGGTCTGACGACTCAGATCCACAACGCCTGCGCTTTAAACAGCAAGTGGGACATGTCGGCCACTGCCGCGAGATCAGCTAGCAGATAAGTTCTGCCAAAGAAAGCTCGTGCGGCCAGAAAATTGCTGGTGTCTGCTGGCACTATCTAACGCCAAACAACCGGTGTGCATGTAGGATCATCTAGGCAAAGCAACAAAGTCGAGGGTCTGATCGGAGTGTTGAGGCCCAACTTTATCCTGAATACGTGTGAATACGTGTTAGTAACCATGATATCTTATCTTAACTATTGTTACCAGTGAGGGTCCGCCGGTGCTCTTATGCAAAGTCCACCATTCGCTAAGCCACACCAGACGAAAGCATGACCCGGCGACACTGTCGTGTTCCGGCTCTCTAAGAATCACCGGAGGCTCAAAATTGAAGAGGTTTGGAGGGCTTATGAATGGTCCAACGGTTGGAAGGGTTTCAGCCCCAACCACCAGTGGGCCCGACGGAGTTGCTTTCTCTTTCTCAGGCCTGTCCCGAATGATCTAGCAGAACCCAGCACCCAGGACTGTTTAGCCCCTGTAAACTTATCCCGATGGAAGCCGCCTCATGGGTGCGGCTCCTCCATTTTGACTGGCAGGAGGGCGGAAGGTTGCTGGTGAGGATGTGAGAGGCTGGCATGTGACGGGGACCAACAGAGCCCCACAGTTGCAGCGAGCTTTGAAGCTGCCGCTTGCGGGCCCTTGGGGGCCTCTGGAAGCAGAGAAGTCGATCGGCCGTGCAAAAGCTGCTTGCAGATCCTGGGGACTGGTTCGACTCAATGTCCCCTTGACTGTGAACCCAACCTGCAAACAATAACATGGGGCTCCAGAGATCTGCGCGGTGTGCAGCGCAATGTGCCGCACAGTGTAGCAGAGGCAAAGGCAAGACTAGAAGAGGTCAAAAGAAGATCCTCCGGGGAGTGCAAAGCACTTGCCGGTGGGTACTATGAGAGCATCCGTCATCAGGTCGGTTGTGTACGAAATCGTGGAAGGTTGCTTGAGGCTACAAGACATAATAGCACCGATGGCGGACAAGGTGACTTAATTGGTCCCGTAGGCAGCTGCGCACACCCATTTTCAGGTCTCGCAGGAGGTGTGCCGCAGAGACAGACCGGTGCATGTAGCAGTCTCACCCCTGTAGTTGCCATGTCGTAGTTGTTCGGCGTTATATCAAAACCGCAAGGGACATCACCGCTCGATGCCCGTGAAGTGCCTGCTAACTTCACGTAGTTTGGAAACGCCGTGTCCTTCAGGCTCCTCAACCGAAACATTCATGGAGCTTCGGTCTCTGGATTTCCCGGCGCTGCGGGCAATGTCATGTAATATCCATGGCGGCGTGGCTCGGCGCTGTAGCAGATCAGGAGAATCTGTCGTAGTCGTCACTCATGCCAGCTACAGCTACTGTCGCCAAGACCACGTATGTCTATGTCAGAGTCTATGTGCATCCTGATATGCATTTGACAGTGGTTTCTCTCAAGTGGCCAGCTTAACTCGCAGACGACAGCACTCCTCCCAGCAGGGCGGATTGTACCAGACGTACTCGAGATCTTTGTACATGGCGCTGCTCGAATGCATAGCGCCTCAATGCGGCAGTTGGTTATTCAGATGCTTGCCGGCACTGCACTAAGGTGACCCCCGGTTGTCCGCAGTCCCCATGCTTCGTTTCCTGAAGCTGCAAGACATAACTGCCTCTGGCCAAGGACGACCAAAGTGTCGTGCTGCATCTTCCTTGGATTGCTTCTCGGCCTAGCAGATGGAAGTTTAGCAGACTTTGGCTGGGACTGCCGCTCTGTGTCTCAGAATTGTGATTGAGGATCTTGCGCGGGTTCTTGCTGGAAGATTGGTTGCTCTTGCTGTCAAGGCATGTGCTGATACTTCCGATCTTCCTCGTCCTGGTGGCTGTTGTCTACGGCAGCCTGGCAAGTGCCGTTACAACTGCTCGGAGCAAGTTAAACCGCACCAAGATCTTCCGAGGCACGCTTCCTCGTAATTGCCAGGACTCTTCGTGGCAAAACCGCTGTTTGGTGGCATTTGGTCGGAAAGGTGGTCAAGTTCTGCGCTGAAAAGAGTTGTGTTGAAAAGGGCTGTTGCGCTGCCTATGTCCTAGCACGGAGGTTCACCGCAAGACGACGAAGAAATACAGAGAGAGAGAGAGAGGGAGCACGTGTCTGAAAGGTCGAACAACTGACTGATCCTTCATTGCGAATTCGGAATGGCGAACCCACATCTGAGGTGATTGTACTCCAGGTTCGGACAGCCATGTTTTCTGTAAGCTGTAGGACATGGCCATGGCAATTACTTCTTTGCCACGTTCTAGGCAACCATGTGGGAAGCATTCGTCGTACGATGTCTTGGAAAGGCTACAGTACCGTTCGAACCAGTCCTTGTTGCACATGTTCTGAGGGTCCTCACAGTGGGTCGACTTGCTTTGCCACTATGGCCTTTCGCGTGGCAACAGCTCGAAAAGGAGGTTACAGGAACAGCGATAAAGCGCAACCGATATGCTGTGGGTTGAAGTCGGTTGAAGTCGCAAAGCAAACGAAGGCGCGCGTCGGAATGATAGATCGGCTTGTCACGCTGTGTCCTAAACTCGAAAGCCAAGGATGCGAGAAAGCCGCCAGTTTAACGCTCGGCGATGCACGGTCCTCGGCGATCTCCCTTGCCGAAAGATCAACCGGCCACTTTGAAAGACCTCTTTGCTAGCGCATGCTGCACAGAAGCGACCCTTGGCAAGGTCATGCTAACGATGCTCTATCAGACCTTGGGGGTTGGAGGCCCGCCCGCCTCAGGCCAAAAATGAAAGGATATGTGCAAGATATTGTACACGCATTGTACTATTATGTACCATATCTCATCAACTACATACCACTATACAATATACTACGTATATGCTCGCACGCAGGCTACATCGACCTCAAGGAGAACTACTCTGATGCTCCAGCGACACAACACGATTGGGTTTTTCTTATCGCAGCCTACTTGGGCAACTTGGCACACGACTTCATTCACATGTATGAAGCATGGTTATCCCCGCGCTGACGGTTCTACCTGCTTGTGGTGAAGCGCTCGTGGGGCTGTTGTGCTGTTGCTGCCTGATTGCTTTTTCCGCTTATGTCAAAACAATTGCAACGACTACTGCCTACTGCTGTTGCCACTAGCCTGCTGCGGCGACAACTCTACTCGTAGCCGTTGCTACCGCCAAACTGTAGCAAAACGTGTGACGCAGCGCAGGCGGACGACGACGATGTGTTTGACTTGCTGTTCTTGTTGTGTTTCACTTGTGTTGTTGTGGACGTGTCGCAAGTACTGTGGTGTTCATCGCTTTTGTTGTGTTGATGTTTGAGCACATTTTTAGTTGTTTTTTGTAACGGGTGCGTCGGGCTCGGGATTCTTGTCCCCAACACCATCATCGTCATGATCGTCCGGCGGGTAACAGTCACCATGTTCATCATCACCATCTTCATCATCATCACCATCTGCAGAGTCATGATCGGACCTTGATTTCATCGTCATCGTCGGCACACGAAAACTCGCATGTGGAGTACGCAGCAAAAGAACGATGCGGCCGCCTCGCCTGAAGAAGCCTCTAAACCTTAGCAATTGTAAGACTGTGAGGCATGGACGTCATCACCCGGCCCACCGCAACCCCCTACCTCTGCACTGAAGCAATGTGAACAAGACTTTACCTGCACAATCCGTATTGTCATGGACACCCCTGAAGCAAAAAAGTAGCAGTAGTAGTAGTCGTCGTAGTCGTCGTCGTCGTCGTCGTGGTGGTGGTGGTGGTGGTGGGGGTGGTGGTAGTAGTAGTCGTCGTCGTCGTAGTAGTAGTAGTAGTTGTTGTTGTTGTAGTCGGGGTAGCAGTAGTAGTCGTCGTCGTCGTAGTAGTAGTAGTAGTAGTCGTGGTGGTGATGGTGGTTGTGGCAGTAGTGATAGTGTGGTGCCAGTGGTGGTGGTGGTCGTAGTAGTAGTAGAAGAAGTGAACAAGTAAGTCGTCTTCGTCGCAGTAGTAGTTGTGGTAGTAGTAGTAGTAGTAGTAGTAGTAGTAGTAGCGCTGTTTGCTATTACTACTACCCCACTCCCACTCCCATTCCTGCTACAACACCAACTACTACTACTACTACTACTACTGCTGCTGCCACCCGTACTACCTACTACTACTACTGGTGCTACTACTACTACTACTACTACTACTACTGCTGCTGCCGCTCCTCCTCCTCCTCCTCCTCCTCCTACTACTACTACTACTACTACTACTACTACTGCGACTATCACGACGAGTTCTTGTGTTAGTACTACTACTTCTGCTACTATTCCTACTACTACTACTACTACTACTACTACTGCTACTACTACTACTACTACTGCTACTACTACTGCTACTACTGCAACTACGACTGCGACCACCACGACGCCGACGCCGACCACGACGACGACGACGACCACTACTACTACTACTACTACTACTACTACCACCACTGCTACCACACTACCACTACTACCACTACTACTACTACTACTACTACTACTACTACTAGTACTGCTAATAAAACGATCACTACTATTACCGCTGCCACTACTACTACTACGACGACGACTACTACAATACTACAACTATCGCTACTACTATTATTATTATTTCTATTACTACTACTACTGCTACTACTACTACTACTACTACTACAACTACTACTACTACTACTAATACTACTACTACTGCTGCTACTACTACTACTACTACTGCTACTGCTACTGCTACTGCTCCTGCCACTGCGACTGCTACTGCTACTGCTACTGCTACTGCTACTGCTACTGCTACTGCTACTACTTCTGCTACAACAACAACAACTACTACTACTACTACTACTACTCCTACTCCTACTACTACTACTACTACTACTACTACTAGTTCTGCTACTGCTACTACTACTACT